AAGCAGGCTCCATTAAGTTTATAATGCCAAAAAATTAATTAGGAGGCAAGTTATTAATTTAAAGAAGTGGAGATTAATCCTAAGAACTACTTCCAGAAGAGGCTTCCTGTTAAAACCACACTGAGAAACTCTTTGAAGTAGGGCATTCACATGCACATGTACAAGTGGAAAGAGAGAAGGGCACCATTTCTCAAATAATTACTGTAGTCTTTGGATGGCTTGCAAACATTGTTTTTAAAAAATGACATGCTGAATGAGGCAGGACTTTGTGTTAAAGCAGTGTCACAGCAGGGAGAAAGCCCCAAATGTAGGCCTGCAAGCACATCAATAGTTAGGCATAAAGTTTTCTGTGTAGGGAGGAGCAAAGAGTAGATAAAATGTGGGAAGGTAAAGAATGATGGAGGGTGGCAAAATCAGCTCCTGAGCCAATTGTTTTCCTCTGAAAATGTCCTTACTGTGACATTAGAGGGGTTATAAGTTGGCTCACTTTAAAAGTGGGTCAAAGATTATAGATTTGAAAAAAAGAGATTTAGAAAAAGATTGATACAAATATTGGGATGCTGCTAAGTTCACCTAATCATTTTTGAGGAAAACTGTAAATTTTCTGTCTTTGTTGTGAGTTAAAAATTGAGTAGACAGCATCATCTATGTGTAATGGGAAGGGTGTTACTCGAGGTTGGAAAAGATTACAGGGAATTGGGCCGGGGGTTTAGCTCAGTGGTCCTGCCACCTGCCCCGCAAGGGCAAGGACCTGAGTTCAATCCCCGGTACCAAAAAAAAGATTACAGGGAATTTTTCTGTGGTGCTGATGCTCGGCCCAGGACCTTCACTCTGAGATACTTCCAGCCCGTGTAGAGTTTTAGAGTCATCATAAACTTTGATTGGATGGCGCTGTGCAAGCTGGGGTTGAACTTAGGACCACCTTGCCTCAGTCTCCGAGTGGTATGGTCACAGGTTTAAATTACCAAGGCCAGCTAGGGTGCAGGTTTTACCATCACTCCTATATACCAAGATCACAGTGCTTGGTTAAATCATACATCATCAACCATTTGCTTTCATTTCAAGAAAGTTTTGATCTTTCCATTGAGAATGCATGGGCCAGTCTGAAAGTCATTATGGGAATATTCCTGCTCTGGACACTTGGCTGTGAGTTTGAGATTAGTTGTGCATAGTATATATATATATATATTTGTGTATATATATATATATATTTGTTGTTGTTGTTGTTGTGTTGTTTGTTTAAATGGTATTTTTCCCAGATTCTGGAACAGAGAATCTAAGACTATCATAATTTCCTGAGCAATAGAAAAGTCTACCCCTTTTTCCATAAGCCATTCTGAGGTGGTATATTCATTTTTATTAATGCTGGGACTCAGTGTGTCACCCCCTTGATAACTGCAGTATGATGACTCATAACGAAACACAACAGCACCTGCTTTGGACCCAATCTGCACTTTGGTCATTCTTGATGGTGTGAGTATTGAATTTTGGGCCCACTATTTTTTATTTTATTAGCACATGTTTGCGGTACATGGAGTTTACATTCATCTTAGGGAATAGGTGCATGTACAGAAAGCTTGATTCTTTATTCACCCCCTTCCCACCCATCCTTCTCCCTCCTCTCTAAATTCCCTTTCCCCTCTTATATTATGGTTATTATTTTTAGTTCATGATTATGACTTACAAATTTCACATTCACTGTGGATATTTGGTACATGTAAATGACACATCTTATCTTTTTTTCTTCATCTTAAATCATTTTACTTCCTTTTCCTCTCCCCTCCTCCCTTTCCCCTCATTCTCTTGAACCATTTGCAAAAGAGCTATTGCCTTGTTTCCTTCTATCAATCTTTTATTTTGCTCTTTATTTTGACTTTGCCTTGCTCAAATGAGAGATAATATATGGTATTTAAGCTTGTGTATTTCTCTTAACATTATATTTTTCAGGTATCCATTTTCCTACAAATGTCTTTAATTTATCATTCTTTATAGCTGAGTAGTATTCCATTATTTATAGATACCATATTCTCTTTATCTGTTCATCTGTTGATGGGCTGAAAATTCAGGCTGCTTCCAGGATTTAACTATTATGAATTGTGCTGCTATAAATACTGGCATGAATGTATGGCTGTAGCATGATATCTTTAGCTCTTGGGAAGGTACCTAGAAGAAGAATAGCTGAGACAAATGGAATTTCTAATTTTAGCGCCTTGAAAAATCTCCGTCATGGTTATACAGGCTTATATTCCCACCAACAATGTAGAAGGGATCTTTTTTTCCAATGGAGCCATGCCAGCATTTGCCACTCTTTTATTCATGATTGGCATTCTTTCCAGTATAAGATGAAATTTTAGTACTGTTTTAATTTGCACTTCTCCAATGGCCAGAGATGTTGAACATTTTTTCACATATTTGCTGGCCACTTGTACTTCTGAGAATTGTATTCATTTCATTTGCCCATTTTTGATTGTGTCTTTTATTTTGGGCAGTCTAATTTATTTTGAGCTCTTTATATATTCTAGATATTAGTCCTCTGTCTGAGGAATAGCTAGCAAAAGATTTTTCTCATTCTGCAGGTTTTCTCTTCACTCTGTTGGTGGTTTCCTTTGCTGTGCAGAAGTTTTTAGTTTGATATAATCCTATTTGTTAATCCTTGGTGTTGTTTCTTATGCACCTGAAGTTCTGTTTAGAAAGTCTTCACCTACACCTATGATCTCAAGTGTTTTACCTATTTTATCTTCCAATGAGTAATTTTTTCTGTTTTAATGTTTAGATCTTTGATCCATTTTAATTTCAGTTTAGTACATGGAGAGAGATACAGGTTCAACTTGAATCTTCTGCAAATAGATGGCCAGTTTTCCTAGCACTATTTGTTGTATAGGCTATCCTTCCTCCAATTATGTCCTTGGCCCCTCATCAGAGATCAAATAACTGAATGTGTCTGGGGATATTTCTGTACCCTCTATTCTGCTCCATCGATCCATGTGTTTTCTACCAATACCATGCCGTTTTTATCACTTGTTTTGTAGTGTAACTTGAATTCAGATTTTGTTATGCCTCCTGCTTTGCCCTTGTTGCCCAGGATAGCTTTTGCAATTATGGGTCTCTTCTGGTTCTATACAGATTTAAAGTTTGTTTTCTCAGGTCTATGAGGAATGCGGTTGGCATCTGATTGGGACTGCATTGAATCTACATAGCAGTTTGGGGAGTGTGGCCATTTTGACAATACTAGTTCTGCCTAACCAAGAGCAAGGAACATCTTTCCATTTTCTGATATCTTCAGCCTCCTTTTTCCAAGCAGTATAATTTTTGCTGTAAAGATCATTCATCTCCTTGGTTATGTTAATTCCTAGATATATTTTTTTATGCCATTGTGAATGGTATTGTTTTCCTAATTTCTTTCTCATTAATTTCATTACAAATACTGTTGATTTTTTATGTGTTGATTTTGTATCTTGCTACATTGTTGAAAATGGTTACTAATTCTAAGAGGTTTTTTGAAATTCATTGGGTCTCCTATATTTTATTTTCTGCAAACAATGATAATGTGACTTCTTCCTTTCCTATATGTATCTCCTTTATTTCCTTCTCTTGCCTGATTGGTGTGGCTGTTTTAAGTTGAACAAAAGGGATGATAGTGGGTATCCTTGTCTTATTCCTGATTTTGGAGGGAAATTTTTCAATTTTTCACCATTTAATATGATGTTGACCATTGGTTTGTTTATAATAAATAGCTTTTATAAGATTCAAGTAAGATCCCTCTATACCTAATTATTTCAAAATTTGTGTCATAAAGTGGTGTTGGATTTTGTCAAAACCCTTTTTTGCATCAGTTGATGTTGTCATGTGGTTTTTGTCTTTGCTTCTGTTCATGTGGTGTATTACATTTATTTATTTGTGTATGTTGAATCATCCTTGGAGCTCTGGAATGAAACCTACTTGGTAATGATGTATAATCCTTTTGATTATTTGTTGCATTCTATTTGACAGTATCTTGCTGAGGACCTTTCCATCTGTGTTCATTAAGAAAATGATTGGCCTGCAACTTTGTTAGTTGGATCTTTGTGTGGTTTTGAGATCAGAATGATGCTGGCTTCCAGAAATAAGATTGGAAACACTCCTTCCCTTTTAATTTCATTGAAGATTTTGAGGAGTATTGGTCATATATACTCCTTAAAGGTTCTACAGAATTCAGTAGTAAATCCGTCAGGTCCTGGGCTTTCTCAATATGCCACTATCACAGAGAGAGATGAATTAAATGAAATATCAGTAGTGAAATACCAGAGCTGAAGTACACCCTTGAAGAAAACAGACTTAATAGATATCTGTAGAGTGTTCTACTCTACTACAATAGAGTACACATTCTTTTTTTATTTTTTGGTACCAGGGATTCAATTCAGGACCTTCCACTTGCAAGGTAAGCGACAGAACTGAGCTAAATCTCCAGCCCTAATAGAGCACATATATTGAACTTTCTCCAAAATGGATCATATACTTGTCCACACAGTCTGCTTAAAAACATAAAAGAATCAAAATAACTCCATATTTACTATCAGACCACTGTGCAATGAAAATAGAAATCAACCCGGGAAAAAGCAAATTTAGAAGCACTTGGAAACTTAATAGCATACTCGTGTACACTTAGTGAGTCATGGAAGAAATTAAACATTTTCTGGAAGCAAATGTGTTCAACCTATACAACACAGTGGAACCCATGATATATAATGAAAGCAGTCCAAGGAGGGAAGTTCATTGCAATCAATGCTTATATTAGAGAAACTGAGCTCAAATAATCTGAGGAAACTCATGAGACATGAGAAACAAGAAGTCATGCCCAAACCAAAATTGAGGAGTATCATAGACATCAGAGAGGAAATTAGTGAAATTAAGACTCCCCCAGAAAAACCCAATACAAAGAATCAATAATTGAAGAGCCGGTCCTTAAAATACATAACCCCTTAGGAAAAATTAACAAAAGGAGAGAAAAGACTCCCATCAATGTAACTAGAGGTGAAAAGGTGAAACTACAGCAGGCATGGTAGAAATCCAGAGGACAGTTGGTGACTACTACGATGAAAATCATGTTCCAACAAACTGGACACATCCTAAAGAAAGGGACCGATTCCTAGACATTTACAAATTACCAAAACTAAACCAACAAGACATAAAAATATTGAACTACCCAATAACAAGCAATGAAACTGAGGCAATGAAACCCCACCATTTTCTGTTGGACACTTACTTAGCGTTCAGCAAACAATTCACATTTGAATTCTAAATGGGAAATGGGAAAGACAAGGGCCAGTCTTTGACTGTCTGCGGGTATCTGTCTCTGCCCAGAATTCAGCCTGTAGACAGGAGAGGAACTGCACCCTGGATGGCTACATAGGGTGTGAAGAGGCCCCAGATTGAAGTTTTCTGGGTTCTCATGTTCCCCTGACTCACTACTGAGCATTGAACCACCCTGGGCTTGCATGGGCACAGTGACTGTTATGCAACCTCAGGAATGTGTTTAACCTTCGGAGTGTGAGTTCCTTTGGGAACTGCAGTGAAGCAGGCTTCTTCCTTGACCTGCTTCTCTTTTGTTTTGCAGCAAGTTATCTGTATAAAATAAAATTTACTTCAAGAACTTATTTTCATGATTTAATGATTTGCTTAGTTAAAAACAGAGTGGAAAATTGATAGCATCTGAAAAAGCAAAGGAAATTTTAGAAGTAAATGATCTGTTTTACATTTGCCATAAATGTAAATAAAGATCCACAGAATCATGATTTGGGTGAACAAGCCAGCTATGGTTACTTCCAGTGCATCTTTCTGACTTCATCTCAATGCACCCAAAACTGGCCACAGGATAGATTTTTTTGACAGCTCTTTGTATCTTAACAGTCTCATCCAAACCTCAGCACATTTTTGTTGAATCAGTGCTAGACCAGTGTATCATTTTTGCATAATTTTGTTTTAAATCTATGTTTTTATCCTCATCAGTGTCAGCATAATAAGCACTCCTCTTCAGATAGGGATAGCACACCAGATATCTAGACATTGATCAGCTCTGATATATGTCCTCTTTCTGTCTTTTTGATCTGTTCTCCTAATCACCAGCATGTATTCTGACCATGGCTTGCTGGGTGTCTGAAGGTCTCATATTTGCAACTGTGCTGCTTTCTATCTTGCTGCCCAATCTGTGAATTATGTTTCACCTTTCTATATTTGTAGACAAATATATAAATATGTACAGTCCTAATAGTAATTTACTATTTAAATGTTTTACAATAAATTTTACTTTGAAAATTTTACATTTAACAACAATAGCAATTAAATATCCTGGGAATACTCAGCAAGTTTCATAACTGGCCCTTGGGCAGTGGATGAAAGTATCCAGGTAACACCCATGTGACTCATCTCTTTCTTCCCTTTTTGATGACCACTTTCCTACCTTGGCGACTTTTCTTAAGTTTACTGTGTGTCATTTTCTACAGTGTTCTTTTATTTTCCCACCCCTTGAAATTTTCAACAAGTATTATGGAAATTACACAGAGAAACATTTTTTTGTTTTGTTTTTTTGTCTTGTTATTCACAAGTGCTGGTATGTGAGTCAGGGGCAAGGTACTTACCCATCCATTCCATTGCTCAGGTAGTTCAGAATTTTTCAATTTTACTTTTTATTTTTGTGAAGAGAATCACATCTGTCTCCAGGAACAATAGCACAACATACTGTCTAGACATTGAAATAAAGTCATTCCTCTGTAGGTTTTGGTAAACTCCATAGTACAGAAAATGAATGTGGAACGTATCAACTGATCTTCCATTCTTGCATAAATCTACTTATTTATTGCATTCTTCCACACTTCCATTGTCTGGCAGTTTCCTCAACCAAGGTTGTGGATCTTGTTTTATATTTGGTGTTTTCTCTTAGTTTAGATATGTTTTCATCATATTTAAGATTTGTATTCATTGATTTTTACACTGTACACAAAATCTTTATATTGTATACACTGCATTGTTGTCTTATTTACCTCCCAAGGCTTTTATAGATTTTAATTTCTCTAATTCTGACAGCTTCTTGATTTCTTCTGAGGAAACATTCTTTTCATATCTAAAAGGTATTTCCCTATGAATTCTCAAGGTGTTCACGTTTATATTTCCCATTTTAATATGTAACTTAATTATTGTTCATAGAAGACTATACAGCATATACAGATTTCATAGTAGTTACCTGTTTCTCCCTGATCATATATGAAACAGATTGTGACTTCTTCCAGGGTTGTACAATACCAACTATCTCCTGAAGCAATATCCTATTTACACGTGGACCCATTGAAGATTGTCATCTTTCCTGTGATTCACTTGTCATTCTGTCTCATAATACTATAATGTCCTGAATAGTGGATTTTGAATGTCTTACGTATATTACACAAGCTGTCACCTTCCTATTTACAAGGTATTGAACATTGTTAGACTTTTATTATACTAAACAGCTGTAATTTTTGATGACAGTTTTTTTGAAGCTTTTCTTTTATTATTAGTGGCTAATAACTTTTAAATATATATATGAGTGGTTACCACTTGGTGTCACTAAGCTATAAGATAAATATGCTATCTTCCCCTAATTTCACTATCCTTAGACATCCTCCACTAAAACTTTTTCATTAGTGTTTTTAATTATTATTCACAATCTTAATGTTTAATTAAGGTTTTCTCTACAAAACCAAACTCAAGTTTCAAAGTTCTAAGTAAAATGAAAGGACTCAATTCCATAAAAATAAAATTTGAGTCCATTAAAGCATTTCATTAGATATTCATTTGCCTTGGTGTTTTATGTAGCTCAGGTGATCCAGCAGGATATTCTGCACTCCTATTCTTCTGTTGCTTTAGCAATGAATTGCAGTGCTGTGTGTGATAATGTATGATTGGAGAGTAAGGGTTTGCTGGTCAAGACATGGACAATATTTGAGAGATTCAACCTTAATTCAGATTTTTATGAATGCAGTTGAGATGTTCCTAGCTGTGAGTCTCAACTTTCTTCCTGAAAATACTGTGTATTTGTGATTTTTTAGGAGGCAGTGTCCTTTGAGGATGTGACTGTGACCTTCACCATAGAGGAGTGGGTTTTGTTGAATCCATCCCAAAAGAAGCTCTACAGAGATGTAATGTGGGAAACCTTTAGAAACATGGCTGCTATAGGTAATGATGATGTCATTTTCTAATTTATACACTCAAAATTAGTTTTTGCCCACTGGTGCAGTCTTATTAATTAGAATGTGAAAACATTTTGATGACTATCTAGACCTGGCAACTTTATACTGTGAATCTGACTGGAATCTACAATTTTTATATAACAATATATTGACTCATTATATTTCTGTATTTACAATTCAGGAAGAAACTGGATGAACCAGCAAATTAAAGAGTACAAAAATTTTTGGAGCGATCTAAGGTAATTTGTACTTACAAGATAAAAGAATGTTCCTCAAGAGTCAGAGTGAGAGCAGAATATTAAAACCAGGCTAACAGTACAAACGATGCCATATTCAAATTTATTTAATTTCACAAACATTCTGGAAATATGTATACAGTTTGAGTACCTATAATCTGACATTTGAATATCTGAAATCCAGTTTTGGAAACTGAGGTATACTGATTTATGCAATAAATGACATGGTCTGATATATCAGTGTATAAAACTGTTTCTTCTATGATCAACATCATGAAAATGTATGAAATTGCATTTAGACATTAGGTATATGCATATATGAAATGAAAAAATTTAGTTTGACAGGTAACCAACTTCAGAATATCTAATTATGTATACATGTATATATGAGACATTCATTATGTACAAAATTGCTGTCCTTGTGGCAGTATTCAAAATTCAAATCAATGGTAGTGTTTGATAAACCTGTTTTTAAGCCATCCTACAGATCAAGTCCATTTATGTTTTAAAATTCTTAGAAGTCATTCTCCTATTGCTGTTTGTGGGAATGTAAAGTACAACCACTTTGAAAATCAATATGTAGGTTTTTCAAAAAGTAAAAATAGAAATTCTACTTGATACAGCTATCCATCTCTTGGGTGTATTCCCAAGAAAGAGTTAAAATCATAGTGATACATGCCTACACATGATCAAAGCAGCACAATTTTCAATAGCTAAGTTCTAGAAATAGCCTAGATGTCCACCAATAGATGCACATATAAGGAAAATTTTGGATAGACTCACCATGGCAATGCATGCTTATAAACCCACCATGCTGGGAAGCACAGGGAGGAGGATGCCAAGTTGAAGCTCAGCCAGACCTACTTAATAATTGATAAGAAACTTTCACAAAATAAATTTTAAAAGCTGGAGGTATAATTCAGTGCCAAAACCATGAATTTTATTCTCAGCACAGGAAGAAAAAAAAAATCAAAAAGAAATCATGCCATATATTCAACCATATAAAGAAGTATGAAATCACCATCCCATAAAGTTAAGTGAAACAAATGTCCTGGAAAATCAATAAGAGTAATGTGATCCTTTTTATTTTTTATTTTTTTTAACAGAAGTGAAGAGGTAGAAAAATACTATGAATATAAAGATTGGAATCAACATGAAGAAATATTCCTTTGGACTTCAGATACTAAAGTGAACATAAAAAAACCTGGTTTCAAACCAGCAGAAAGCCTTCCTTGTAGAAGGCCCTTGACTGGTCATGTATCACTAAATGCACCCACCATAGCTCACACAGGACTGAAACCATACGAGTCTGAAAGATTCAAAGAGAAGCTGCATAAATGTAATGAACATGGGAAAACCGTCAGTGAATTCCAGTTCTTTCAAAAGCATGAAAGTATAAACCCTACAGAGAAACCATATGAACATATGCAATGTAAGAAAACCTACTGTGATTCCAGTGAAAGAACTCATGCTGGGGAAAAGCCCCTTGTCTGTAAGAAAGGTGTGAAAGCCTCCAAAACACCCAATTATGTTCAGATTCCTGAAAGAAATCACAGTGGAGTGAGTCCCCATGTATGTAAACAGTGTGGAAAAGCTTTTATTTCTTTCCACTATATTCAAAGACATGAAAAAACACATACCAGAGAGAAGTCTTATGTATGTAAGGAATGTGGGAAAGCATTTGTTCATAGTAATTCCTTTTGCAAACATAAAAGAATTCACACTGGGGAGAAACCCTATGTATGCGAAGAGTGTGGGAAAGGATTTATCACACGAAGTTATTTTCAAAGACATGAAAGGATACATACTGGGGAGAAACCCTATGTATGTAAGCAATGTGGGAAAGCCTTTAGTATGCATAGTAATTGTCAAATACATGAAAGAATTCACACTGGGGAAAAACCCTATGTGTGTAAGCAATGTGGGAAAGCTTTCATTACATCCTGGCATTGTCAAAGACATGAAAGGATACATACTGGGGATAAACCCTATGTATGTAAGCAATGTGGAAAAGCCTTCAGCATACATAGTAATTGTCAAATACATGAAAGAATTCACACTGGGGAAAAACCCTATGTATGTAAGTTGTGTGGGAAAGCTTTCACCAGACATTATGATTGTCAAATACATGAAAGAAATCACACTGGGGAGAAACCCTATATATGTAAGCAATGTGGGAAAGCCTTTAGTACACACAGTAATTGTCAAAAACATGAAAGAAGGCATACTGGGGAGAAACCTTATGTATGTAAGCAGTGTGGGAAAGCATTCAGTACACATAGTCATTGTCAGAAACATGAGCAAAATCAGACTCGTGAGAAAACCTATAGATGTAAGCAATGTGAGAAAACCTTCTGTTCTAAGTGTTTACTGTGTGAACATAAAAAATTTCACACTGCAGAGAAACCGTATGTATGTAAGCAATGTGGGAAAGCCTTTAGCAGACATTATGATTGTCAAATACATGAAAGAAGTCACACTGGAGAAAAACCCTATGTATGTAAGCAGTGTGGGAAAGCTTTTACCACACAAGGTCATTGTCAAAGGCATGAAAGAACTCACACTGGGGAGAAACCTTATATATGTAAGCAATGTGGAAAAGCCTTCAGCAGACAAGGTACTTGTCAAATACATGAAAGGATTCACACTGGGGAGAAACCTTATGTATGTAAGCAGTGTGGAAAAGCTTTCAGCAGGCATAGTGATTGTCAAATACATAAAAGAACTCACACTGGGGAGAAACCCTATGTATGTAAGCAATGTGGGAAAGCATTTGCTGATAACAGTTCATTTTATAGACATAAAAGAACTCACACTGGGGAGAAACCTTATGCATGTAAGCAGTGTGAGAAAGCATTCAGTACACGCAGTGATTGTCAAATTCATGAAAGAAGTCACAAAGGGGAAAAACCCTATGTATGTAAGCAATGTGGGAAAGCATTCAGTACAAACAAGTATTGTCAAATACATGAAAGAGGTCACACTGGGGAGAAATTGTATGTATCCAAGCCTATTTTGAAAATTCTGTAAAATTTTCTCGTAGTAGAGACTTGTAGAAATAAGTAATATAAAATGTTTGATGTCAGTTATATCATTGTAGTTTTGCTCACTTTTTCTTTCACACCAGTGCCATTAGTATATGCATAAAATTTTATGTTTTAACCTTCCAAATGTTACTTCTCATGTTTATATTTTCATAACTTCCAATTTGGTGGTAATTTTCCCATCAGCTGTACCAAAAAATAAACCATACTGCTGTGAGTGCCCCATTGCCACAGACCAGCAGGACCCTAATGTTTTTTAAATAGTATATCGTGAACTATAGTATTATATCAGTCAAGTAGTATAAATTATGGTGTAACTTGTCAGCAACAATATTTTCAAAGGAATTTTTGTCAGCATTGGAATTGTTTTGAGGACAATGGTTGCTGTGGGATGTAACAAGGCAGATGCCTTTATTCTCTGATGCTGTGAATGCCATTCTATCTTTGGTAATCATTTTTGCCTAAAAACCTGAAATAATGACATGAAGAAAAGCCTAATTCATGAGAGGTATCAGTCAGTTTAGTAAAGAGAGAAAATTTACCAATTTGATTCAAATTGTTGTTTTACTTGTTTTAGATATAAATTTAGACAATGCTCTTTTAAAATTATCTATGAGGACTGCTCTCTGATGACTGAGATATGTGACATTCTTTCAGTCACATAGACTTGACCAAGCTGTAAGCTTATGGCCAACTCTGAACTCCCTGACTTCTATTTTTCCTTCCTTACATTTAAACATTGAAAAATTTTATGTTTTGAATAGCAATGCTCATGAATCCAGAAACTGCTTATTTTCTCATGAGATGACATTGTGATGAACTTACAGTAACATGAAAACATAATGAGCAATGCATTAATTATCCATAATGTAGTGAACATTATACTAGCTTGTCGTGGCCTTAATTATGCTCAGGCACATAAACTAGTCGTGAATTGGGTAATATTATCTAAACATGTCTGCTTTATACCACCACGTGAAATATCTGATGTAATTCATGGAATATAATGCAGTGCAGAGCACACTATCAATTTTGAAACACTGAAACGTGTATAACTTCATTGCAGTAAACTTCACCAGGAGGATAGGTAGTATATATTGCTATTGGTTTTCCAAGTGGTGATGGAATGTTTAAAATAGAAGACACTATCCTGAGCAAATTAACATTCCTACCATTTTATCACCAATAAAATCTTGCTGGTCCTGGTGGTACATTCCTGTAATCCTACCCACTCAGGAGACAGGTGAGAGGAAAATAAAATTGAGGCCAGCCTGGACAACTTAGTGAGACACTGTCTCCAAATAAATATGAAAGGTCTAATGATGTAGCTCAATGCTTTAGTACTCTTTGGTTTTTATTCCTCAGTACCAAAGTTATTTTAATACAGTTACATCCATGTTTGTCTTTTTCTCTCTTAAACTATGAAAGTCCAAGCCATGGGCTGGGGATTTAGCTCAGTGGCACCACGCCTGCCTCCCTTGCACAAGGACCTGAATTCAATCCCCCATAGAAAAGAAAAAAAAAGTCCAAGCCAGTTGTTCTGGCACATTTTAGTCCCAGCTTCTGGAGAATCTGAGACAGGATGGTCATGAATTTGAAGCCAACCTGGGCAACTTAGCTAGATCCCTTAGCAAACTATACATTTGTTCTCTTTATATCTGCATTTCAAGTTAAAGGAAACAAGTTTAGGTTCAGACCTAAACCTAGGATCAGATAAAGAAAACATCACTATCTCAAGTCAAGATTTCATTGCTCAGGAAATTTTTTTTTTCCCAAAGCAATAAGGAACTTTTTATTCTGAACAATTTTAGTAAGACATTTGCAGGGCAAATATGCAATAATAAATTTTATTCTGAATAACAGTGCTGAATGATAATTACCTGAATGTTTTAGTATTTTTCACAAGTTAAAAGAGCCCTTTCTGTGGCATTAACAAATCTAAGAAAGAAAGAAAAAGGAAGGAAGAATGAAAAAAGGAAGACAATGCTAACTTTCAGTGCAGGAACAGGAAGTAGTACTGTAACCTTTTGTGTTTAGGATGACAAATAATTGAGACCACAGTAATTCATGCAAGTTATCTTTAAGGTATACATAAGTTCAAAGAAAGAACACTGTTAGTAACCTTTGATACTATGGCAGCAAACTGCATACTGAAATACCTTAATTAGCCTAGATGCCTAGATCTGGCTTGGCAAGCATCATGCCACTGACATATGCTTTAGCTCTTTTTGTAACAAAAAGTGATTTGCAGTTCAGTGACTGAGTATTACAGTGTGATCTGTTAAGCTGTGTGATAAACTGAGGTTAAATTTAAGCAAATTCTCTACACCTGGTCACACTATCGGCACAAGCAGGACAATGCTGGAACTAAAGTCTTCCTTTTACTGTGTGATACATTAGGATGACAGACCTAAATTTCAACTGGGTTAATGAGTTAGAATAGATTTGTTTCCCAAATTTAGCACTCAAAAGTTTCTGTGGATTAGAGAAACTTGAGATGTGAAAGAAAAATAAACAAAAAATAAAAGCTTGAGCTCAGCTAACCCCCAGCTCTAAAAATTGTCATGCTACAAGAGTATTTGCATAAAATGAACTCTGTAACAAACTTAAGAAAACAGTGTTTTAAATTGAAGTTAACCAACTGCTGCATAGAAAATACGCTAACATACCACAGTCAAGTTTAAGCTGGTACACAGAAAAGATGAAGCACTTACAGTAATTGCAAATGGTAGCAACAAGTCCATAAGGTTTGTAAGACCTAGCATGGGTTTGTAAGGGGGGAAAACTGTAGTAGAAATGGTTAGGGGGGAAAAGGAAATGGAAAAACTTGGAGAAGAGAAGGTAGAAGGAAGAGGAAAAAAATGTATAAAATTCACAAGCCAGTAAAGTATAAAGATACCACTGAAAAACACTTAACTCTGTCCCAAACACCCAACAGCAAACAAAACCAGAATTGTACGCCTTTGGCAGACAATTTTAGATGTTTGGCTATGATATTACAGTTCTTAATAATTTGCAAACTATGTTATATGCTATATTTATATTAAATACTGGGAAACCAGTCCTGTAAGTTTGATGGTTGTAATGCATTAGCCAATGGGACCATGATGATATCAAGCTAAATGAATGCTGGTGTTATCACAACAGTGCTCGTTTATGAAACAACTGTTAACAATTTGTGCTTTAACAGTGCTAAAACACAGTCGAATAATCATCTATGAAGTGAAACAAAGGTCTCCAGCTTTTCTGGGATACACCCTTTATAATATATTGTATGATTCATGAGGACACAAGCAGCAAGACACTGCAATGTGGTATGATTTATGGGCGGGATCAAATTTTTAGCTATTTCCTCCTCATCCAGTAAGTTATTAGCAGTTTGTGCAAGTTTGTGGCATCAAAATGTGCACCTGATTTAATAAGGAGATTCATGATGTCTGGATGGTTGTTCAGAGCAGCGATATATAGGGGACTATTGTCATCGGAGTCTCTGATGTTCACATTAGCACCACATTCTATCAATATTGCAGTAACTTGCAGAGATGGAACTTTGCAAACTGGGTACTGCCCTACACATGTAGTATTCTTGTCCACAGCAAGATGAAGAGGGCTGAAGTTATTCTTTCCTCTTGGATGCAACTTAAGAAACCTGTAGTCTGCTTTTTAAAATGGTCCTGTTCTAGAGTACAAGGAACTTTTCCTAACAAGCAGATTAAATGCAAAATGATGGAAAGAGCCTTATTTAACTGTAATGGGTCAGCTGGACAGTCTGTTTGATAGCTTGCTCAATTTCAAGCACGCTTTTGCACAGTATACCCATAATATCAAACATAACAGTAGTACCGAACAGGCCTCTCGCCCTATCCTGCAGTATAAAGAACAGTTCTGCAAAAGATAATAAGCTGCTGGCAGTCATTGGGCTTAAAGGATCCAAATTATTCTGCTGTATATCCAAAGCGTACTTCCATAGGTTGATGCATCGTTTGAAATTTCTAGAGTCTGCATAGACAGCTCCATGATATCTAATATAGTAAGAGATATTAGGATGAAAAGGACCAAGAATACGTTCTCTAATTAATAGTGCCTGCATTCTCATTTCACCTGGATCAGCAAAAAGACCTTCTGGCTCTTCCCACTATTTACCCCCTTGGCATAATCATAAGCCATTATTAGTGTGTGTGATACTGGCTTACTAATTATGTCAGGTCTACCACTGTACCTCATGTTCATTGCCTTTTTCCAGTATTTCAAGGCCCCAACCAGATCTCTTTCTGTCTACAAAAGCGGCTCCTAGAAGCTCCAGAGCATTTTACACTGTCTTGCTGGTCTGTGCATGGTGCATCCAAAAATCCAGTGTTTGTGTGACTAGTCATGCTTGCTGAGAGAAGGGCAGTCATGCCATGACCGTCCTTTTCCATCTTGGCACAGTACATAAGCATCTTCGTGATGTCCAGATTGCCATATTCTGCACAATCACGCCATGCTGTATTACCTTTAACACTTTTCCGGGTAACATCTGCCCCCTTTTCAAGTAAATACTGAGCAATCTCTTTATGTCCTTTGTAACACGAAATCATCAAGCACGTATGTCCCTGCTGGTTTGACACTTCCAAATCAGCTTTGTGTTCTACAAGGAACGTCACAGATTCCAAATGGCCATTGAAACATGCTGCTCAAAGAGGAGTCGAATTGGTCAAAGCGGTGTTGTTGACAGATGCTCCATGATTTAACAAAGACCGGACCACACTCAGATGTCCCGCTGCAGAAGCAGCCCATAAAGGGGGAGCGCTCTCAATGGTTTCACCATCAAAATTGAGCCCCCAACTTCTATGGAGGCACTGCACTGCTCCAGGAGGAATTCCACCATGTCCAGGTGCCCATACCTGGCAGCCATCAAGAGCGGCCTGGCCCCGTTTGCTTTTTCAGAGATCAAGGAGGAAGCTTCCTCTTTGGATCTGCTTGCCAACAACTCAGTAAGAAGCTGCAGTTTGCCATCCCATGTTGCATTAAACACTGCTGTCTTTACATCCATTCATGTCCAGCTGAGAGGCTGTGCTTTATTCATCCTTCAAAGCAAATCTCCAGCTTAGCTATCAATGCAGCCAAGTCACTGAACCCCAGAATGGA